CTCCAGGTGAGGGCTAGAGATCACTCACAATTACAACTGCTCTTCAGGTAGCAGAGATAAGTTCCTCTGGAGAAAACAGTGGACTTTGTCATTATACCCTGCTGAGGTCACCACAGCAAATTGACACTGTTTGCCCAAAGCCAGAGCACTCCCCCAGAGCCTCTTTCTAGATCTCGTTGTGTTGCTTTCACAACGGGCTTTACGGCTAGTGTGTGTGTGTGTGTGTGTGTATATATATATATATATATATATATAATTGTTTTCCCACTATAGCTACAAAACTACACCCTACCACCTACACCCTACACAAGAGAGTAACAAGGTACATTAATAATCTATCAGTACGCTTTGGATATTTCTCTACATACTTATGGATACATTATATCTTTTAAATTATAATAAAAAGTATTCAATTAGAGAATACAAATAGGAATTTTTGATTAATATTTCACATCTTAACATTTCTGTCAATTCATTACATTTCAGCATAGAAAATCTCAGATCTTCATTTAGGTTTCTTCTTGCCTTTACGCTTCTTCTTTTGCCAGGGGAGTTTAACCTTAAACGATCTGGGGGCTGCCGCTCCCAGATTGGAATCAATGTCAGAGTCAAAGATTTCACCCAGGGATGCCAAAGATGCGGTAGAAGATGAGCTATCCGTATCCGACTTCTGTTGTTCACTGTTTTTCTCTGTTGCCTTTTCTCCCTCTGCTTCTTTATTTTGTTTAACCAGAGTTTGATGCTGCTTTAGAAATTGTTCTGTTTTTAAGAAAGAGTCAATCTTTTCTTTCTTAGAAATTGTTCTGTTTTTAAGAAAGAGTCAATCTTTTCTTTCTTTTCTTTATAGTTGAAAATAAATCCTTCTGGAAGAATCCATCTATATTCGACATTGTTTTTTTGAAGAAATGCTGTGATATTTTTATATTGCTTCCGTTTTTTATGTATTTCATATGGAACATATTTCAGTATTTTGATCTCCTCCTCTTGGATTTTTATTGTTGTAGCTGTAGAAGCTTTAAGCATCAAGTCTCTTGTTGATCTTTTCACAAATTTCACAAAAAATTCCCCTGGAAGATTATTCCCCCCCCCCCACAAAGTCTGAATAGGCTCTATAAATCATATCAATATCTGTTTGTATTATTTCGGGTTTGCTATTAATCAAGGGGGCCAAATCATCGCTTAAAATTTCTCTTAGATTCTCATCTTTTTTCCTCAGGAACCCCTTGAAATCTTAAGACATACAAAGATCTTTCCATTTGTAGTTGTATTAATTGTTGCTTTTCAGAAGCTCTTTCTTTGTCTGCAATGTCCATTCTTTGATCCATTTCTTTGGTCTTAGTTTCAATTTTTTGTAGCTTTTTGGCTGTCTTCTCTGATTTGTTTTTAGTCTCCTTAAACTCTTTCTCCAGATTATTGAATTTCTGATTGAGAGTCATCATCTGATCCAGCAGAGGGCACTAGGCTTCAGAAATTTTAGTAGATATCTCGCTGGTATTTTCCGGTCTTGTGACCAGTGATGCTGTACTGGCATTTTCTGTGGTGCCTCTGCCTCTGGATGCCATTTTTCCCCCTCGCTGAGAGATTGTTTTTATTTAGGTAAACGTTTTTTGAAGTTCTGGGGGTTTTTTGTGTCATATATATTTAGTCCCGATGCATTCCACTTAGATGGGATAGGATTTTAACAGCTTAAACTAGGCTTGCAAAGCTTTAATCGCTCTTACGTTATGGGGTAGGGTTCTTCCTCTGAGAGTCCCCCCTTTCTCTGTGGAGCTGTGCCGCTTCGCTATTTCACTGTTTAATCCTCCACCCTCTTTGTATTCGTCTTTCTCTTTGAAATTTAACTCACTTTTTCTTTATTGCTGAATCGCTGAATCACCATGTAGAGAGAGTCCTTTTACTTAAGTCCTTATACACTCTGGTCCGGTAACATCTCTAGTTACCATTGCTGGCCTTGAGGCAGCGGGACCTTATGGAGCAAAAAAGAGCTCAATTCCCCAAGCCGAAACTTTGGGAGCGGCTCTTTCAGCACTCCAGGCTAGAAGCTCCCTCCAAGAGCTCCGTGGGAGGATCGGAGCAGGCCAATCCCCCTCCCTGCTGCCTTGATCCAAATCGCACCCATCGGAGCTCTAAGAGGTGTGTTCATCCATGAGTCGCCACAAACCAGAAGTCCTCCTTAAGCATTTCTGACCATGGTATTCTACCCAGCATTATTTAAGTTTGTTAAAAATTGCTTTCCTGAAGACCAACCTATATATCTGACTACGTACCGCTTTTCCCTTCCCCAAGACTGTAAATTCCAAAATTACATGGTCACTACTACCCAGGATGCCCACTACTTTCACCTCATCAACCAGTTCTTTCCTGTTGATGAGAATCAAGTCCAAGATAGCAGATCCCTGTGTCTCCCTCTCCACTTTCTGGAAAATGAAGTTGTCAGCAAAAGAAGTCAGGAATTTATTTGACCATTTATTTTTACCAGAGTTGGACTTCCAACAAATATCTGGGTAATTGAAATCTCCCATGAACACCTTGTTAGACTTTAGGTACTACTGGCTCAAAATTCGGTATTTGTGGAAAGTGTCCTAGCATAACACCAGGTTTCCCTTTCTTTCAGCAGGAGACATGTGGCAGTCAGCAAATGAAGTAGGAGAATGCCTGTTGATGGGAAAAGAGGATACATATTCAGATGTGAAAGAGGAGTTTGAATATTCGGATGCACCAAGGAAGGAGGAGGGGAAACACCCACAAACAGGGAGGAATAATTCTGGTCCTTTACAGCGGGATGACTCTCTATGGCAAAACATATGTCAAGGAAACAACAGGAATGAGTGCACTGCAAGCAGGGAAAATTCCACTGAAATATCACTTAACATTCAACAAAGGATGTATAACAGAAAGAAAATATATAAATGCCTGGAGTGTGGAAAAAATTTCAGACAGAAAGTATTCCTTACTTCCCATCAAAGAATTCACACAGGGGAGAAACCATACAAATGCCTCGATTGTGGGAAAAGCTTCAGTCGAAGAAATGTTCTTATTTCCCATCAAAGAATTCACTCAGGGGAGAAACCATATAAATGCCTGGAGTGTGGGAAAAGATTCAGTCACAGTAGAAGCCTTACTGTCCATCAAAGAATGCACACAGGGGAGAAACCATATGAATGCTTGCAGTGTGGGAAAAGCTTCACTGACAGGTTCACTCTTACTTCCCATCAAAGAATTCACTCGGGGGAGAAACAATACACATGCCTGGAGTGTGGGAAAAGCTTCACTGACAGGTCCAGTCTTACTTCCCATCAAAGAATTCACTCGGGGGAGAAACAATACACATGCCTGGAGTGTGGGAAAAGCTTCACTGACAGGTCCAGTCTTACTTCCCATCAAAGAATTCACTCGGGGGAGAAACAATACACATGCCTGGAGTGTGGAAGAAGTTTTAGTTGCAGTTCGAATCTTTATATCCATCAGAAAATTCACACAGTGGAGAAGCCATATAAATGCCTGGAGTGTGGAAGAAGTTTTAGTTGCAGTTCGAATCTTTATATCCATCAGAAAATTCACACAGTGGAGAAGCCATATAAATGCCAGGTGTGTGGAAAAGGCTTCAGTCAGAATTCACACTTTCATGTTCATAAGAAAATTCACACAGGGGAGAAACCATACAAATGCCTGGAGTGTGGGAAAAGCTTTGCTTACAGTAATAGTCTTACTTCCCATCAAAGAATTCACACAGGGGAGAAACCATATAAATGTCTGGAGTGTGGGAAAAGCTTCAGTGACAGTTCACACCTTCATGTTCATCAGAAAATTCACACAGGGGAGAAACCATACAAGTGCCTGGAGTGTGGGAAAAGCTTTGGTTACAGTTCCACTCTTACTTACCATCAAAGAATTCACACAGGGGAGAAACCATATACATGCCTGGTGTGTGAAAAAAGATTCCGTAACCGTTCAAACCTTTATGTTCATCAGAAAATTCACACAGGGGAGAAAGAATACAAATGCCTGGATTGTGGGAAAAGCTTCAGTCAAAGAACCGGTCTTACTTCCCACCAAAGAATTCACACAGGGGAGAAACCATATCAATGCCTGGAGTGTGGAAAAAGATTCAGTAACAGTTCAAACTTTCTTGTTCATCAGAAAATTCACACAGGGGAGAAACCATACAAATGCCTGGAGTGTGGAAAAGGCTTCAGTCAGCGTTCACAACTTAGTCACCATCAGAAAATTCACACAGGGGAAAAATCATATAAATGCCTGGAGTGTGGGAAAAGCTTCAGTTGGAGATACAGTCTTACTTCCCATCAAAGAATTCACAAAGGAGAGAAACAATATGAATGCCTGCAGTGTGGAAAAAGGTTCAGTCAGAGTGCATACCTTTTTTCCCATCAAAGAACCCATACAGGGGTGAAACCATACAAATGCCTGGAGTGTGGGAAAAGCTTCAGTAAGAATTCCGGTCTTACTTCCCATCAAATAATTCACACAAGGGAAAAACCATATCAATGCCTGGAGTGTGGGAAAAGATTCAGTCACAGTAGAAGCCTTACTGTCCATCAAAGAATGCACACAGGGGAGAAACCATACAGATGCCTGGACTGTGGGAAAAGCTTTGCTTACAGTAATAGTCTTACTTCCCATCAAAGAATTCACTCGGGGGAGAAACCATACAAATGTGTGGAGTGTGGGAAAGGTTTCACTGACAGGTCCTCTCTTACTTCTCATCAAAGAATTCACAGTGGGGAGAAACCATATAAATGCCTAGAGTGTGGGAAAAGCTTCAGTCGCAATTCAGACCTTAATGTCCATCAGAGAATTCACAGTGGGGAGAAACCATATAAATGCCTAGAGTGTGGAAAAAGCTTCACTTGCAGTTCCAGGCTTACTATCCATCAAAGAACTCACACAGGGGAAAAACCATATAAATGTCTGGAGTGTGGAAGAAGCTTTAGTTGCAATTCGAATCTTTATATCCATCAGAAAATTCACACAGCGGAGAAACCATATAAATGCCAGGTGTGTGGAAAAGGCTTCAGGCAGAATTCACATCTTCATGTTCATCAGAAGATTCACACAGGAGAGAAACCGTATGAATGCCTGGAATGTGGGGAAAGCTTCAGTGAGATATCCAGTCTTTCTTCCCATCAAATAATTCACACAGGGGAGAAACCATATAACTGCCTGCAGTGTGGGAAAAGCTTCAGTGTGAGTGGAAGACTCACTATCCATCAAAGAACTCACACAGGGGAGAAACCATATAAATGTCTGGAGTGTGGGAAAAGTTTCAGTCGGAGTGGCGGTCTTACTTCCCATCAAAGAATTCACTGGAGAAAAACCATATAAATGTCTAGAGTGTGAGAAAAGATTCAGTTGTAGTGGAATCCTTACTTCCCATCAAATAATTCACAAAGGGGAGAATCCATAGGGCACACCTTGCTTTCCACCAAAGGAAGCACACATAACCTCTTTAAGGTTAAATTCTTGGTCAGGAGAAGTACCAAAAATTCAGAACTGCCTCTCAACATTGGCAGTTCATTAGTATAACTGAAGAAATAGGAGATACAAGTGGGGACCTGCAAGAAACTTATGGGACCCCCTATCCCATTCTCCCCTCCTCTGCTTCTTCCCCTCTCTCCCTACTTCTCTCACACTCTTTTTCTTCCTGCCACCTGTTTTCTTACCGTCTCCCCTCCATGCCTATCACTTCCTTTCTGCCCCTACACCATCACTCTTTATGCCCCTGTCACTCTCCTGGCCTTCCACCTACTTCCCCCCCCACACACACACACAGCGGCCACAGCCGCTCTTTAGGAATCACAACGGATTGCCCAAATACAGAGAATAGTTCCTCTTAGGGTTCCTCCATGTTGGGAAATTCCTGGAGATTTGGGGGTGAAGGCTTGGGAGGATGAGGTTTGAGCTTGGAAATGACCTCAGCAGGCTATAATACCATAAACTCCATCCTTCAAAGCAATCATTTTCTCTGGGGAAACTGGTCTCTGTCATCTGGAGATCAGTTGTAATTCCAGGAGATCTCCAGCCCTCACCTGGAGGTTGGCAACATTAGTTCCCCCGGATAAAATGACTGCTTTGGAAGGTGGAGTCTATGGCATTATATCTGTCTGAAGTCCCTCCCCACTTCCATCCCCAGGCTCCACCCCTCAAATATCTAGGAGTTGGCATCCCTATCTCCTTCCCACCCAACAGCCAATCTACCTTTTTCTTCCCCTCTGTCTTCAGCTTTCTGTGTCCTTTCCCCCTGCAGTTTCTACTGAGGAAAACAATGGTCTTTCTCCACCATGGGGACTAAAGCAGTTCATATTATTTTCTCCTCCTTTTTATCCACAAAACAACCCTATGACGTAGGTTGGGCTGAAAGTATGTGACTAGTCCAAAATCACCCAGTGAGCTTCCATAGCATGGTGGGGATCTAAACCTGGGTCTCGCAAACCCTACTGTGAAGCTCTGACCATTATACTACACAGACTTTCATAGGGCAGCTGTTCAATAGCAACCAGGCCTAGTTGAATCATGCAAGTCAGGTGGTATCAACTCACCCAAAGGGTGCTGCTAGGTCTAGGTTTGTCAACTTCTAGGTGGGACCTGGAGATCCCTCAGAATTACAACTGAACTCCAGACAACATAGCTCTGTCCCCATGGAGAAAACAGGTGGACTCTGGCATCATATCCTACTGAGGCCTCTCCCATCCCCAAACTCTGCACTCTTCAGACTTCACCACGGATTCTCCATGAATTTCCCAACCTGGAGCTGGCAATCCTAGTCCCAGACCTGGCTCCAACCCCCCTGCTATTTAGCCATTCATGCTGCAAGAGGAATCCTACCCAATCTGAGCTCCAGTTCTACTTTTTGCTTCCTCCCCTGTCTCTCTGCTTCCTCTTACTGTCAATGCTGTGGGACCTGGAGTAGATCCCTGCAGCGATCATTTCAAAAGGTATTGGGAGGAATTTAACCTTCCCCAAGGTTTTTGTTCTACTTTTTGGATTTTTCTGGAGACCCACAGAGTCCCCTTAGTCCGTAGAAAAACCTGTTGGGGGAGAGTGTGCCCCCTATCTGCGGAAATGAATATCCACACGCAGAAGAACTGTTGAGCATTGGGTTTCCAGAGGACCTCTGAGAAAGGACTTTGGGATTTTCCAGAAGTAAGCTGGCAAATTGTTAACCCCGAAGTAGAATTGTAGAAACAGGTGTATTATATTCAATTTAATTGACAGCAGAGGAATATTCTAATTAGAACAGGTGTTCTTATGTCAGCTTTTTAAATTAGAATGGTACCAACTGTCCCAGCTATACCTGTTATGGTGGAGACTTATGACCAGATTCTTTGCTTCAAAGAAAACTAGGAATAATTTGTCAAGAACAGGCTAGAAAAGCCTAATCGGGGTGAACAAAAGGGTAACTGTACTGTAAAAGAGAGGAAAACCCCTCTTCTGACTTGCTGGCTGCGTTCACACGGACAATTTGATCCATTGCCCTTGCTGTTCCCTTATGGATTTAGAGTGCATGATCAGACAGCAACATCTGTCTGTCGTGTCTGAGTCGTCTGAGTTCCATTCCCCCCTCCCCTTGCCCCGTGCTTCTTTGATACCTGATAAAGTCTGGTCCTGTTGGTCTGAGCTGCTTCAAACATGAATTTTCTGCCACCTAGTCACTCTGTTGTGCAGCCAAGCAGTCAGGCAGGTCTCACTGAGCTCTTGCTTTCTGGCCGCTATTCCCCCCCCCCCTCAAGTTAGCTAGGATCGCATGTAGGGTTGCCAAGTCCTTACCCTCTGTATCCTGGGGGAGTGCAGCGCCGGCCTGGGAGTGCGCGCAACCACGTCACCCGGAAGTGACGCAACCACACCGGGCACGCCGGGGGCGGAGCCACAATCATCCAAGGGAAAACCGCAGCCCCGCCCCCAACGCACCCGATGTGACTGCGTCACTTTCGGGTGACGTGCTGCCGCCGGGCACGTTGCGTGCTTTGGGGGTGGGGTTCCCCCCGGCGGAGGGTAACAGGCCTCTTGGGCGGGGGTTTCCCCACCCCCCGGGGGGACTTGGCAAGCCTAATCGCATGACTGTATATATGCACCTCCCCCCCGGGGGGGGGCTGCTCAAAACCTTGTTTTCTTTTGAAAAACTCTTAAAGAAAGACGCCCCTTTTTCTGCAGCTTTTTAATATCATTTGGGGAAGGGGTAAATGGAAAATATTAGAGGGAGGACGGCAGTGGACTCCATTTCCCAGCAGTCTCTTCACCACTTCTGCGATTACTCTGTGGACTTAATTTTAAAAGAAAATGGCCAACAGCCCCACGAACTCCATATCCCAGCATGCTGAGTGCTTCTGGGCATGCTTCTAAGGGCAAACATCTAAAAAAATGGCTGACGGGCAGACTCTGCTTTCTGCTGTCTGGTCATGCAAGGAGGAGTAAAATGGCATTGAAGCGTGCTAAAATGGATGAGTCTGGTCAGGATTCTGTGCCACAAAATAACCTGGCTTAATTTGAGGTGGGGCAACAGTGGATTAAACTGCCCAGTGTGACCGCAGCCACTGTGTGTTTTAGAAATTAAGATATAACTTTAATATTTTGTTTATAGCTGAGAATGAAAGCTTATGGTATTGACAAAGACATAGCTAGCTAAATATTTACCAAGACTATATTTTTAAATAAAAATCTTTGCTAAATACATAGCTACAAGCTATGAGAAACTACCAAGCTTATTTTAACTAAGTAAGGTCTGGAAATGACGAAGAGCACGAGGTGTGCTGTAACTCCAGCCAAAGAACAAAAGTAATTACAAGAGTGCTTACCAATTAAAAGAACTAACTAAAAGTGCAAACCTTGTATTATACAAAGGGGGCCCCAGCAGACTAAAGAAAAATAGCACATTTTAGAAGACCAGAAACTTAAATTAGATTTAAAAATCTTTATAAAATTAACAAAAATATTCTGGTGGATCAAAATGAAGAATAGTAGAAAACTTTCAAGTAATTTATAAAAGCTTAATGCGATAGACCGTTTTGCAGCATTAGAAAGTGCATATAGAGAATTTAATATTTGAAAAAAGTGCTATAATTTTGTATTTTCCATAATTCAATGTATCCTTCATATATTTTTAGTAGAAATTAACCACAAAATGGTATTAATATACTTTTATATGCATGTATGTAAGATGTAAAGGAACCATTTTTGTAACAGAACGGATAGATTTTATACTGAAAATGAACTCAGCCCCTTTGTGTGTATAAAGTTCATTCAAAGGTAAAACAAGTCTGGGAAATTGGCCAAAAGGCATTCATCATTCTTAACGAGATGAACACCTGCATTGTAGAGTTGAGACATGGCCAATAAACATCTTATTTGTCAAATATGTAGTTCGAAAGCAAGAAATTGCAAGTAGCTAAATAGGTACCACTTCGGTGGGAAGGTAACAGCGTTCCGTGCGCCTTGGTGTTTAGTCATGCCGGCCACATGACCACGGAAACGTCTTCGGACAGCGCTGGCTTTTCGGCTTTGAAACGGAGATGAGCACTGCAACCCTAGAGTCGGACTCGACTGGCTTTCGAGCAAGGGAACCTTTACCTTTACCTAAGATGTAAAGGAACCATTTTTGTAACAGAACAGATAGATTTTATACTGAAAATGAACTCAACCCCTTTGTGTGTATAAAGTTCATTCAAAGGTAAAACAAGTCTAGGAAAGTGGCCAAAAGGCATTCATCATTCTTAACGAGATGAACACCTGCATTGTAGAGTTGAGACACGGCCAATAGACATCTTATTTGTCAAATATGTAATTAATGGATGTTTAAACAAAGAAAATCTAACTGAGCAGGTGCAAATGATGTCAACAATGGTGTAAAGTTGGGAGGAGGAAGAATAACATATAACCAAGATCCCTGTTGTTACTCACTGGACATCTGAGCTGAATTTTTGGCCATAATGTGTCCCTTAATCAAATAAAACTTTTTCCTACCCCTTACTGCCTGGGATTGTCTGTTTCATTGTATGGTTTATTTAGGGTTGCCAAGTGCGGTGTTGTAGTAGAGATTGGACTATAAAGATTTTCCCCTGTTTTGATTATTCATATTTCTCTGGTTTTTATAGATTTGTTCTTTCAGTAATATTTTATTAGGATGTTAGAAAGGCCTGTTATATAGAAGGCTTTCCTCTTGTAGGTCTGATATTGTTAGCAGACAACATAAT